GAGCACCAAACAGCTATTGCGAAGGAGCCAGCGGAGCGGCTCGAACCAGCTCCGATACCAAATTGCAAGGGTAAATGTTGCACAGTGAAATGACAGAAATCCAGAATGCAAATTCACATTGAAGGCCAGAAAGTTCAACGCTGTCCAGAAAGCAGAAATGCACTGATATTCCACCAATGGAGAAGCAAAGTACTGAATCCGAATGTCAATGAGAGCATACTCTCGCCACCACCAACATATGTATCTGGAGCCCTTCCTCCTACTTTTTGCTCAGCGCCCAGACTACGATCACCCAGCTTACTAGCAGCCTATGAATTGATAATGCATCCGGTTAATGTCAACAGCAGCCTAAGATGTCGACCCTTGTAGACCCCGCCAAGACCAGGTACGTGATCTCACATCGTCAACCTTATTTCTCTCTCTCTCGCCCTAGACTTCATCACCCGCGTCTTCACCCTCGTACACGAAGACCATCACCACCTCCACTGGCTACTGTCCAGGTCAAGCCCGGCTATGGGGGCTGGCTATGGTGCTGCCCTCAGCTGCACCCTACCTCTCGCACGACCGCACACACGTACCTCATGCGAGTGTTTGCTCCAGCAGCACTGCCACCCACTCTACCAAGTGCCCCAATATCCTTCCCGGTGCCCTGCCCTTTCCTATATGGAAAGTTGCGGGCGCTTTCGCTCGATTCCCACGTGAGACCGAGTTTCCAGTAGCTTCCGTTTGGGCCAAAGTGTCTGCGCCCAGGCTCATTCAGACAGTGGCCTGGGACCAAATTGGTTAGGCATGCCCAACCACCCAGGCACAAACGTGCGGTGCTCCCCGCTTATACCACGTGTCGGAGGAGACAAATATTTTGGATTCTCACGAGCAACGCGGATGTAACCAACTGGCGCGTGGCAACTGTCCGGCCCCGACCAAGATGTGCAAAAATTGGCAAGTTCAGCGCGCATTGAGGTTCAGGGGGGCCCGCCTTCACTTAGGGCGGGCACGCGCCTGCTGCAGGGCCTTATGCTGAGGCAATAACCCTTGCACTTTTGGCTGATGATCATCCCCAAATTTGTCAGCGATATAGTACTGAAAGAAAGAAGCGGACCCCGCAGCAAGGTGCCTACCGGCCCACAGAAAACTGATACCAGGGAGTTGTTTTGCCCAATGGAAGCTGTTCCTAGTGGCGACTTTGGGCGCTGTAGATGGGCTCAAATTACGATGGAACCGGGGTCGTCTTTTCTTCTGTTTGTTTACTTTTGTTTTCCGGTGAAATACATTTGCTGTCATGACGTGCTTTTGTTTTTGTTTTTTTTTACTGGACAGTGGATTCTTCTTTCGTTTGCTGTTATTGTTTTCTGCGTTTTCATTTCACTCTCAGTATGAAGGAACAAAAGGAAAAGGAAAAAGAAGTCCACATGGTTGCCGTACAACGTGCTTGTGGTGTTTTTGTCGGCTCTGAGTCTTCATTTTTTTGAGGTATTTGGGTAGAGGAATCACATCCGTTTCCGTGCCTATTCGCGTAGGGGAATCGCCTCCATTCCTGTGCTGTGAGCAGCATTAAAAGCGAGGGACCAGGCCAGTTCAAATACAAGTGAACACCTGGCCTGTGTGGATGAATGCTCGACGTGAGCTGCAGTGCATGAGCTCGCATCATGAAACGGAATCAGGGCATGCTCCCACTACTTTCTTAACCCAAAAAAAACGTACGTACGTTCTATTCGAATTACCTCTGGAAATCGGTTTTTCAGAAATCGCTTGGTTTTCCCGAATAGAACGTATGTTCGAATATAACGTACGTACATAGTATTCGAATACAACGTACGTATGTTGTATTTGACTTTTTGGAACTGTGATTTTTCAAATGTTATAAAAAAATCCGAAAAACATAAAATGTTATACAACAATGCAATACAAACAACGTTTGCCTGAGGGTCTTATCGAAATTCACGAGAAAATTCGAGAAAAAATAAAAACGAGGATGAAAATGTTTTGTACCTGAGTACGGACGCCGCCCGGCCGGGCGGGGCCCGGGCAAGTCGCCCGGGCAAACCGGGCGGGCCAAAAAACAGGCCAGAATTTTTTTATTTTTTTTTTGAGGGCGGGGTCGTGCTGTGCTCGGCGAGGGGACCCCGAAT